TCAAAGAACGGCGTTTATGTGGAATAAACTCCCTGAGAACGTTTTTCTGAATGAATTTAATCTACAACGATTCAAATCCAATGCGAATCACTACTCTTGCACAGGCACCGCTCTAAGAGCGCCCTAATAATTTTCTTGTAGTGCATGTGTTTTGTCTTCAAGAAAAAAACACTTCGACAAATTGGTTAAGGCTTTCGAAGCCGAGGTTTTCAGTGTCACTATTTTTCAGGTTCGAAGCCCGTGGATTTTTGATATTTCTTCCTGACGTTTCATTGGTGCGACTGGCTAGTTGCTTCAGAAATTCATCTATTTGTCTCGCCAGCTCCTGGTCACTATTTTTACGGTTCGAAGCCCGTGGATTTTTGATATTTCTTCCAGACGTTTCATTGGTGCGACTGGCTAGTTGCTTCAGAAATTGATCTATTTGTCTCGCCAGCTCTTGGCGAGACAAATATCGTCAGAAAAGAGGAGGAAAAACGGATAAAATATCAAGATTTTCTCTTCGAACTCCGCAGACTCTATCCAGATCATACTGTCAAGATGATTATTGGAGTCCTTGGTGGAATGATGCCCTCTCTACTCTCGAATCTTGGCTCACTGCGCTTGCTCAGGGCACATGATTCTCAGACCCAATTATCACTCACCCCACGGTGTGGGGAGTGGTCATTGGTTGATAATGCTGGCGCGCCATTCTGAATGTATCGGGGCTTTGGGGGATAGGGACTGACCAGCGCACAATACGGTGGAAAAAAAATAATAATAATAATACCTCACAAGAGGTAACAGCAGTGAAAAACTCTCTCCGCGGCAAGTATCAGCACAAACTTTGACAGATCTGGTCATTGGAACTGTCGGGGAAGAACAAAGTTGCTGCAACAAATATGCTTGTCGTTCCAATCTTACTCTACTCGTTAGGAGTTGTGAAGTGGACTCGGGAGGAGCTGTATCAACTCGACGTAAAGACCCGAAAAATGATGCATCTCTATAGGAGTTTGCATCCCAAATCGTCCGTCCCACAGTTGTACTTCCCCCGACAACAGGGAGACCGTAGACTTTCGAGTTTGGAGTGTCTACATGAAAGAATGGTACTGGATATTGCCTGTAAAGTCGTCAGGAGTTCGAATCCCCTTCTCTGCATGGTCCGTGACCATGAAAAAGCAGGAATTGGAGCATTTCTCTTCAAGGCAGCTGCCCGAGCAGCTGATGAACTCGGTATAGTTTTCGACACTCAACGAGTTGACCACAACCCTGTCACCGAGTTGCAGCCCGTTCAGCAACAAGCTAATATAAAAGCCGCAGTGACCACCTCACTTCTGCGGAAACAGAAGGATAAGCCAATGCATGGGGTCTTCTTCAATAACATTGAAGACCTTGGCTTGTCAAAGCGCCTGACTTTCGCTTTCCTCAGGTCGAGTGGGCTGAAGTCGGAAACTGAGGGGTTCATCATGGCTTGCCAGGATGGTGTCTTCAACACCTTAGTCTATAGCAGTCGCGTGATGGGTATAGAGGTTCCTGACACAAGGTGCAGGGCCTGCCGCGAGGCGCCCGAGACCCTAATGCACTTGCTATTAGCATGTCCAGCATATTCGGTCTCGGAACTCTTACGGTATTGACGAGACACCGGTGTTGCCCTACGCTCCGGGGGATATTGAATCCGTTGTGGTAAACGAGAAGTGCCGAATTTATTGGAACTATTCGTTCCCCACCCTCAGGCTCATACAAGCTAATAAGCCTGATGTAGTCATTTGTCACGGAGTTTTCAGCTCCTGGCAAGACAAAAATCTTCCGAAAAGAGAAGGAAAAACGGATGAAATATCGAGAGACCACTCTGTCAAGATGATTGTTCTGATTATTGGAGTCCTTGGTGGAATGATGCCCTCTCTACTTTCGAATCTTAAAATCATACCGGATTGCCGCTCTAATGCAGAAATCTTAGCCACACAGATGCAGAAGGCTGTCATTCTTGGCTCACTGCGCTTGCTCAGGGCACAATATTCTCGGACCCAATGATCACTTACCCCACGGTGTGGGGAGTGATCATTGGTTGATAATGATGGCGCGCCCTCCCGAATGTATCGGAGCTTCGGGGGATAGGGCCTGACCAGCGCACACTACGTTAAAAAAATAATACTCGTCTTTATTATTTTCAAAAAATATATAAAAAATCAAGATGAGGAAATATATTAACAGTATATTTTTGAAAATAAAGGGCAAAATTCACTTCAGTTCCTGAATAAATCCAACAACTGAACTGTTCTTCCACTTCGAGTTAGTATCTTTGATGGCTTGATATTACGGCTACGAAACGCGTATTTATGTTGACTCCCCAGGTAGTTTGGTGAGCTAATACTTATACCTGCCTTAGGTAAATTTCATAAACCGTGTTTATATTGATTCTGGTAGTCTGGTGTGATAAAATCTGCACCTGGATTAGGTAAATTGTCAATAACATCCGTTAAACTTCTTCCACTTGCCTTCATACTGTTTGCTGTTCTTGAACAGGTTCACAGCTTCTCCTTTTCTGTTGAAAGTATCCATATATTTGTGGATTTCTATTGCCTCCCGTACCAGTTGGTTATGGTACCCCTAGTCGGGTGCCATGAGTTTCTTGTTTTCAATCAGAACCCTGTGGTTTCCTTCACTGAGTGGGTGTTCTGCCACAGCCGACTTTCCATTTGGCCTAGTCTGTTCAGTTTTCTTTATGCTTCTTCAATGTTGTTCTCATGGATCTTTTGGTGGTTCCGATGTATACTTTCCCACAAGTGCACGGTATGCGATAAACCCCGTCTGCTGATAATGGGTCCCTTTTGTCTTTAGCTGGTCTTAGGCTTTGCTGTATCTTGTGGGTTTGAAAACCGTTTCAATGTTGTCTTTTTCCAAGTGTTATCCAATTCAGTCCTTGACCCTAGGTATATATAGATACGCGCGTGCAACCATCTGAACCTTCTCCTCGTTTTGAGCTGTAGAACTCTTCAGTGTCATGGCTTTGCTGATCTCGGTTACACTGTATCCATTCAATCTTAAGTTCACTTGAACATGTTCCAGTTCTTTTTCTAGATACTCTGGTTCACATATTTTTCTAGCCCGTTCCGTTAGAGTAAAGATAACGCCTCACTTTTGACTAGAATGGAGTTTCGATAGTGCGTGCCGGTACCCATCTGGGACCCATTATTAGCAGCAGGGGGTTATCGCATACCGATAGCAAACAGCATGACAGCACGTAGAAAAAGGTCAACGGATGTTTTTGACTATTTACCTAATCCTATTTACCTAAGCAAGGTACAGGTAAGTATTAGCTCACCAAACTACCTGTGGAGTTAACATAAATATGGGTTAAGGAGATATTAACTCAAGATGTATAAACCTCTGAGAAAAGCTAGCTACTCGCGCCAGCGAAACGTCAGGAAAACATTCCAAAAATTCACGGTCTTCAAACCTGAAAAATTATGACACTGAAATAAACACTTCATTACTGATATTTCTGTATTTTTTCTATTGCGTATTTTAAAATAACAAAATATACAGGAAAACCCATTTCGGACTAAGCTAGAATTACCAAAAATTACGATTGATATTGATTTTCTCATCGTATATACATGATAAATTGGAAAAAAAGCTTTGCAGATAACGGCGTTATTTTAATGTTTAGGGACTTTTGCCGTGAAATAATATTGTAGCCTACAAATATCATTTTAACTGAATAATTTAAAGGATTTTCGGAGAGGCCGGTTACACATGAGAATAATATTGAAAAAAGTTGTCCCACAACCTCTCGACGGGCGTTTCGATAACCAAGTTTTGCATCATCACGAAGACTTAGTCGTGTCTTGATGATGCCGTCAAAAGACTGTGCTGTGGTGTGGGGAAAATGTTTTTGACAGAATTATTTTACGACAATTATACCTATCAAGATATGGATAACAAAATATTGCCCGCGGCTTCGTAGCGCAGCCGTGATAGACCATTTTAAACAAAAAGTGACAATATTTTTTCACCAACGCAAAACTTCACGTTTAATTCAATACAATATTTGAACCCCTATTCTTCCTCGTTAGCGTTGGAAATTCCTGGTTCCCTTATTTGATGCCTAGTTACGCTATACCAAGAACCTACCTGCATATTTCAAGATTCTAGGTTCAGTAACTTCGGCTACACGTTAATATTATAAGAGCGGGAAACGGCTAGAAATTTATATTCTTACTTTAAAAACAGTAACTGAAAAAATATGCCAAGTGTAATAAGTAATGAATAGCTTCGAGAATTGTATAATGTGACCTATAAAGAAATTTGCAAAACTAACAGAACCGTCAACGACGTCTGCCCTCGCGCATCTGCCCGAGTTCGGGTTGCGTTCTCGGCGATGGCGCTTCATTGCTTAGACTTTACCCCCGCGCATCGTCCCCTATTGTCTTATAGTAGACGCAAGTCGAAATGACTTACTGCATTGCGTCAAGTTATTCTTATCATGATAGTTTATTGTTATTAAATACTTAAAACGACAATTGCATCAATTTTCATAAGAATTTGACAGATATTCTGAAATACAGTACAATTTAATTGCATGTATAGCTCAGTATTTTGCACATAGTGGCTGCCATATAAGAGGTTTGATATCGCAAACTTTTATTCAGAACTATTCAAGATTAACAATCTTACGGTACATTATCTGCATGTAACTCCAACGGCATAGGCAGCGCACGCCAGGATAGCTCTCAGGGAACAATAATTTTTCCGATGGACTTAATACTTACCATTATATTATGACCAAAATTAAACAAAACCATTGTAAATTGTATTAGCCTATATGTTATTCTGATGTATAAGGTGTATTTATGTAAAGTTTCATCTAAATCCGTTCAGTCGTTTAGGCGTGAAAGCCACAAACATACATATCTACATGCATCCTCACAAACTTTCACATTTATATAGTATAGATATAGATAATTTGCCTTCAGTTTAGTTTTGAATCCTACATTAGAAAAAAAATGAAGAAAACTTACCCAGTTCGATAAAGGTGTGTCAATGAAACCGTGAATGATGAATTTGGTTTTCTTCTTAATATCTAAATTCGATTTTTCGATCGACTGATTGTTAGCCCGAATAAGTTGGCCCTGGAACAAATGAAAGTTGATTCGTACGTCTGGTCGAATTTTGATGCACTTACATCACTCGGGTTCAATCGCGTATAAAGTATAAATCTAGTATTTATCACAGCTCGAGGCAAGGGAAACACATTGAATGGTCTCAGAATTAGGTGATACCAAGTCCTAGTAATATTGAGACATCCCAGTTCATCGTAGCATCTGGTTTCATTTTCAACTGAAACAAATATTTGTCAAAAATAACCCACATTATAAAAATGACATAACAATTAAAATATTCGAATTTCGGGAACAAATATGGTCACTAAAATATGAAGTAAATGTATATGTAGGTTATAATCGAAATATCGACCCAGATTTTTTGTACTCTCTCTGATCATTTATGATTTTATATGGTTTTCGGTTGGTGAATTCTGTTAATTATCTGAAATACTCAGTTCTGTGAAAGTAACAAACAAACAAAACAACAACAAGATTTGGATCCGTAAAAAATTGAAGGTAACTTGTCATGGATTTTAAATTATTTTGCTCGTCAGTAACCCAATAACACAATACCATTTATTCTCAAGGAAAATGAAATAAAAATAGTGTGAACAATATTGAAAAAGAAAACTGTTCGATGTAAGATGCTGACACATCGATTTTATGATGGTGATGATAATAACGACAGAGTGAAACTTGAACCACCATACTTGAATGCTTATTATTATTATTGATTCATGTCCCATTCACTATTTCACAAACCAGTACTTTAAGACTTCCAATTCAATCATATATCATTCTCAAATGTTTTTTCTGATCTGGAACAGTGAATTTTATTCGTTGAAATGAAAAATTCATGTCATGTTCGCCAAAAAATTAAATAACGACTTTCTATATAAAATCACTTTTGAGGTGAAATTGAGTATTCAAATTAATGAGCTATTATACACTTTCTACAAAACGGAATAGTCCCATTTCAAATAAACGAATCAACATTTTTCAAAAATTTTCAATGATAAATTCAGTCCAAAATTTTCAGAAATGAGAAGTAAGAATTGTGTGGTCATTTCGGAACTCATTTTAATGGCATCAAACTCAATCTGAAGCTGGACGATTGAGGAACGACTCTCTATCAATTCTAGAAAAATGGTACTGGTACCATTTGATAAGAAGCGAAAGTATTCACTCAAATCCTCAACTCCAAATGGAACATAGCTTACCCTTTTCATAAAAGAGAAATACTCGAGATAACCCATTCAACACCTCATGTGGATACAAAAAGTAGAAAAACCATGAGTGAGAGCAAAAATTCGTTATTGTAGGAGTGATGCTGATTTCAGCAGACCGAAAACCTGAAAACCAGGTATAAACATGTAGATTATGGATATTATTTCACTCGAATTCATCGAAATTCAGAGATGTAGTGTAATAATTTCGAGGAGAAATTTGAAATGACCATAACTAACTGCACCATTGAAGGTTATATTGATAGGCACAAGATTGTTGTTGTGGAACTGACTGTACATTCAGGCTCTTCAATTCCCTTCGCAGCACCTCCACCATCTTTCAGAGAGACTTGCAAAACGGCCCTGGAACAAGTAACAAGAAGAAACGAAGTAATTTTGATGCAGGTGCCAAGTCATGAGATAATTAAAGGAAATGTGGAAACTGACGTACTCGCAAAGGAATAGGAAGTTGAGGAATTGAGTGCCAGGACAGAGACTGAAAAAAACCTATGAAGGAACTAACGCCAAAGTACACCGGATAAGTAGATTTCGACAAAAAAGACTTGAGATTGGGGGAACGAATTTCTTATAGGACACCTTTTTTAAATGACTAGTTAATTTAGGAATAGTTGTCGATACTTTGGCTACGTGGCCAAAGCTGTAGAACTTTTTTTTTTGTGAAATACAATCTATGGTCTACGGAAGATTCATATTTTTTGAAGAGATAAAATGCTCTGTGATATTAAGAAATTGCCTCCTCTGGAAAAATGATCAACTTCGTCCAAAATATCATTCTCCAAGGCTCAAATACTTTAAGGTTATGTACAAACCATCTAATTACTGAGATGGTATATGGCCTTCTAATTCATTTCAATAATGTACTTTAAGTAATGAGATATTACGTTACATATTCGAAACAGCAGGTTATTGTGTGGTTTTTATGAGTAATAATGAATATTTCTTTGGTAGATACGCTATAAGTTCAAGAATAATTTTGAGAAATTTTATGACGCAGGTATCTCCCCACGGCAATATGAAATCATTCTTATTTTATTTCAAACTGAAAAATAAAAAAAAAGAAGTAAAACATCTTATAACTTTGTACTATTGGTCTGTATAGATGATATAAATTATGAAATCGTTGAATAATGATCAAATGTCCATTTGGAAACATTCATTCAACAGTTTAGTAATTTGAATTTTTTTGTCAATTTCATGATGGAAATAATTCATCTCCAATTTTTAAATCGAACTTTTTTAATAATTATTATTTATCGTCTTTCAGGTGTTGGTTTTTCATTTTTGACACGTCTATTTATGGCAATATCGATATTTCCATTGCAATAAAATAACAAAGCACTATCGCATATAATAAATGGGTCTTTCAGAAGGGACTTCCGAACTTTGACGATTGATAACAGCCATCTTGTTGAAGCTGCATTTGTCAAATTAGTTGCCATTTATTCAGTATGTTTTGTCAAATCACCATCGACTGATATATCATTCAACAAGTGCTAATAATAAAATTATTCTATCAGAATGGGTGTTCTGTTCGGGCAACGTACCGCGCGCTTCGCCCATTTTATTAATAATTGATGACAATAGTTATAGGCCACATTCATCAAAAATCACCTATATAACTGAAGTAGAAAATTGATGAATCAATGCATGTACGTGTTTAAAATGACTTTTTATTGAATAGGTGAGAAGTGGGTCCAAAACGTAACCATGCGGTACACAGACTCTTTTGGACTAATAATAATTCACTTACATGGCAACCAAGGCAAATTGACATCTATCCTATCCGACCTGCCCCAATTGAAATTGTCCAAAATACCCGCACTGGCAATTCCCGAAAGGAACAAAATACCACTAGCCAAACGCACTTGCATCAGTCCCATCATCCTTTTTCTAGGACAACGTTTTTCAAAGAGTTCATGCACATAGAAGACGTTATTGTTTCACCACTCGCTGTTTACTATACAGTGCACAGAAATCGCTTGTGTAACTTCTCTTCAATTATTGGTTTCGATATGGCGGGTGGTCTGAAAAAGGAAAAAATGTCGTTAGAAGTCTGATTAGGTAAGCCATGAAGTACAAGGTGATCTCGTGAAAATGTTGAATGTATGAAGAATTATTAGCTCAAACACGTTTTTGTCGTATTCAGTTCAGTGATGTTGAACAAAAGTACATATTACTCTAAAATTTGCAATAAAGAAGAGCGTATCGGAGTTTTCTCAAACATTTTTCATGAAAAGTAATCTAAGAAACGCTCTATGCGTATTTTGACGATATTTTGAGACATCGAGCAATGTTGATTTTTTGAAGCATTAAAATATGCCACGTACATATTAAAAGTCTCACTATCAAATGTGACCCAAACTGTCTCTTTATGGCTCCAATATATCTGAAGCCTTTGTTTCAAAATGAAGGCTTCAATATGATAGAAATAAATAGTGACAATTGCAGCACTGTTTATTAACGGATGGGTGATTATGTTGCAGCAGTAGAGACAGGCCGCAATGGGTTAGTCAGAGAAATCGATCACTATGTGAATGAAGCTATCACTTGATCTGGAGATCGGTTCTTGAAAGATAAGATATTCTTGGCCGTGCAATTGCACTTTAGTACGTATCACCTTGTTAATCCTGAGTTCGTATAAATTGATACTTTTGAAGGTTGTCGTTTGTAGGGACGACAGCTCTTTTTTTTTAAATTTGACCTGTCTTCAAATGAGCTTAGAAAAATTGTCAAAAACTGAATATACTCCAGTCACCTCCGACCAGGAGTTATGCTGATGGTGCCAAAATGATTCAGTGAAGCAGTTGAGTAAAGTTATTGAACTATAAATGTACCTACTACATGATGTCTGTCATATATTCAAAAGAACCCAAATATATAACAAAAATATGGTAGTAAAAATGAAAAATTGATTTTTATTGATGAGTTATTGATGCCCGGGTTATTCTTCCGAAAAAAAATTAGTATGAGTGGTAAAACTGATTATTATTGAGAAATCAAGTGAATTCTTGTTGGATAGTAAATGAAAGTTGCTGGTAATTTTGATCGTACACATTATGTGACGGAATAACTGACATTTATGTACTTGTGATGCACTATTTGAAACCTTTGCTGCAGAAATGAATATTACTGGAGTGTAATCCCAACAGTAAACCATTATTTTCAACACCTCTACACGTGTTTCAATCATCTTCAAAAGAAAAATCTATCTTTCTCTGATGACAAGATGATGACTTGTTGATTGAAACGCGTGTCGAGGTGTTGAAAATAACGGTTTGATGTTGGGATTGAACTCCAGTAATATTCATTAACATTTTTGTGTAAATACCGTAATTTCGGGAATACGGTATGTTGAAAATATACAATCATACTTTACAATTTGAATTATGTATTCTAGTTGTTGATAGTTAGTATCGTTTTGACTAAAATGGTTTTTACTGATAGATACCAATAAATGATAGTATCGGGACATGACTAAAATTACTTCCTACAGCTATGTTGAGCTATAATAGTTCCCTACAAGGAACATGATTTACATATTCGATTTCCCAGACCAACTTCCAGTATTGCTCAATATGCCACAGAGAATGGCCACAAAATAAGTGAGGAATGCTTGGAATTGTTGAGACTGGTACTTGACAAGTTTTCAGAAATGGGCACAGTTTACAGATAGGTAAAAGGTAGTTAAAGCTAAAATTGTTGATGAATTAATAATGAACAAAAAAGACTTGAAGCATAACAAATGCATAATGATTGGAAAAATTGGGATAAAATTTTTTTAATGGCATACCTATTATTGTTCATTGATATATCCCAAAACTACATGAATTTTTCCATTCCTTAATTTTCTTTATCAATATGTTTGAATATTTTTTTGTTGCTGTGTAAGATAGCCAGACTACCCGTTTTTGGCTGGAGTCGAAACTTTTTTTAGCAAATTTGATGATCTTTTTGAATCTTTTTTCAAAATTCGAAAATTTTGAATATTTTTCAAGGTACTCAAAAAAAAATAAACCTCATTTTATTTACTAATTTGTTTATAACTTTTGTAATTTTTTTCAGCGCCTTTTCTAACTTCTCCCTAAACTTTCTACGTGACAATATGAATCGAGTGACACCTTGATCGTAATTTTCGGAGACTATATACAAATTTTGGAAGAAAATAGTACATGTGAACTATATTATTAAATTTGCGAAAAGTCTACTTTCTGTTGTTTCGAATTCATCAAGATTATTCTGGAGTGAAAGAGAAAAGAACATCACCGGTTACTCTGCAATGTTTCATAACTCCTTCATAATGATTTGAGCTGTTCAAACATGTATTAGTAGGGAAGCCAAATATAAGGATATAAATGTAGAATAAATGAACCAAATGTAGGGATTTAGCCTTATCTACGTTTACAATAAAACTAATGGAATTACCACGAAGACAGCCGTAGGTGTCATCAGATCTCCGGGAATAATACAAAAACAAAGGTTAAGGAAATGTGTCTTTATATTTAGAAGAAAAAGTTTCAACAAACTGAGTATTCAGAAAAAGCAAAATCATAGACACCATTTTTGGGTTAGTTCTCCCTCATGAGTATGGTGTAACCAGGTGTAAGGATGGCTACCGTTAGTTCCAAAAAACATAAAAACTAGCCACACATTTATAAAAAATCTTTTGTGCTTCTTGCAACCCAGTGATGTTTTATTTCAACGATTCAGTTTTTCTGGGTCACAGAAATTTTCTACGGTTTTGAAGGTTTTTTGGACTAGCCCGAATGTGAATTTCAGAAAATAAATATTCTATGAAGACGCTGCCATTACTTAATGATTATTTTCAAAGTTGAACATCAAAATATTCAATAACTTGACTAGCAAGACACATGTATTCTTTTTTATTTTCATCAGACTCGAAGCGACGTTGTGCATTCTCTAAAATCAGTGTTACATAATTATTTCAATCGCAATAATCAAATTTTGATCTCAGTTTTGACAATTCGCGCTTACCGGTACCTAATAACAATTTCAGTATTAAAAATAATAATAACACTTTTCGCAACAATATTTCATTACTACTACTACTAGTTTGCAAATATTTTAACGAAGGATCCTGTATATGGTAATCAATTTCATTGTTAGCAAACTTTGGGCAACTGATATGTTTCCGTTATTTCCGATTCATTCCTATTCCATAGATTGATCAAGAAAGTTTCTCAGTATGTTCATAAAACTGTCATCCAACTGTGTTCATACATATGACCGCCTATTGGGTAAAAAATAAACATAAAAAGCGTTTTAAGGTGCTGAAATTTCTTCATTATTTCCAAACAACTCTGTTAACTTACTGATTACTAATTACAACATTATCATTTACAATTCATTGAGTTCGTCATTACCACAGTAAAAGTTTATTTTTCAAATCCTTTCGAATAGGTATACAAGAGTCTATAATGATCTGTTTGTGTTGTGTTATTTGATATTTGTACTCAGTAGCTTCATAGTGAATGAACTCAATATTATTATTATAATTATACAATCCGATTAATTTTGGCTTGAACATATTGAGGTTATGTATAAAAGACCATATAGATCGTAGCAATTAGTGACCAGAGAGCTTTGCCAATTGTATTTTAGTCATATATTATGATTATATTCCATCTCCTCCGAAACTACGTTTGTTGCTTGAAAAAAAATAATACAAAAACATATGGAACTATCAAAATATTTTTGTTCATGCGTATGATAGTTGAAAAAACATCTAATTGTACATGTGATTCAACAAAAATATATTTTCATATCTGAAATGATTGAAGATGATAATGAAAATTTTCACACAATTCCCCATTTCCCATACGTACTCAAAAATATCACATTTCAAAGATAATCTATTAGCTACAGAGACTTAGAGAAAGAAAACATATATTCGTGATAGCGACCCGCTCCGCACGGGTGCAATGCTGATACCAAATATAAAGTCACCCACCGGAAATTTAAGGGCTTGAAGAAACAGTAAAGAAACAGTGAAGAACGCGTCTTTTTCCGTCGCGGGTGGCGCCCCAGTTGGAATATTTGAAAATAATTTCTTATTGCCCATGCGTACAACATGAAACTAGCCTACATACAAAATTTCAGCCTCCAAAAATATAGCGGCATGGAGAAACAGAATTCAGGTTTACCAATAGGCTCACTCACCCCTTAGTTCACTTTTAGCAGACATATTCATGAACAGATCGGAGAACACTATAGTGAATTCCGACCTGGGTAAAAAACATATTCATTTTTGTTACAGATATGTAGACGATATTCTTGCCTGTTTCAGGGGTACTACACGACAGCTGAACCAATTTATGACATTCATGAATAGTCTCAATAGCAACATTCAGTTCACACTCGAAACAGAGATAGAGAAACAGATAAATTTCCTAAACAGAGATAGACAAACAGATAAATTTCTTAGATCTGACCATTACAGACAATCAGAATAAATTTGAGTTCACTGTTTTAAGAAAACATAGCTATACATACCTTATCCATCCCAAGCATTTCTTTCCATCCAGACAGTCATAAATTAGGAGCCTACAATTCAATGTTGCACAGAGCATTCTCACTGTCTTTGTCTGCTAACAATCTAGCTAGGAAAATTGATATCTATCATTACACAGATAAGTTATAATAATGGGTTCAACGCAGATACTATCCAGAAGTTAGTCAAAAAACAAAGCCGTAAATTCACTTACAGATTGATATACCCTGAGGTCAGACAACCAAAAATCAAGAAATGGGTAACTCTAACATATTTTGGAAAAAGAACAGAGATAATTGCGGGTTGCAGAAAAAATAATGTGGAAGTGGCATTCAGACCACATGCCAGGTTATCTGATTTCCTTTTCAATGCCAAAGATAAGGTGGACAAGTTGGAGAAATCTGGTTTATAAGCTTAAGTGTCCGGAGTGTGATGGTGTTTACGTGGGACAATGTGATCGAAATTTCCAAAAACGGTATGCTGAACATGAAAGGTCTTTCAGACTAGGAAAACATT